CCTTGTAAGTGCTTGGGTTCCTGGGCACTTGGGTGGCTGTGCGCGGCCGGGCGTCTGATCAACCTGCAGCCGCCCGGCCCGGCCGGCGGGTGCCCTGCTGGCCGGGATGGCGCCATGCCGTCCGGCGCCCCGGGCGCCGATGACGCGTCGCACTCGTTGACTTTGGTGCCGTCCGTCCTGCCGGCCGGGGCTGATGCCTCGACTCCCTTCCTGTGTGCCCTGCGTTCGGCGGCCCAGCGTGGGGCCCTGCAGGCCTTCTGGTCTGCCGGGCGCCTGGGTCTCGGGCTGCTGGCGCCGCTGCTGCTCTTTGCCTGGTTCTATCACATCAATTCGGATGAGTGCGTCCAGGGTGTCTTCTTTTTGCTTCTCCCCTCCCCCCCCCCTCTCCCCCTGTCTCCCTCTCCTGTGCGCTTGAAAGGGCATGGGCAGGCCGATCGCCGGCCTCCCGACTGGCATGGAGCTGTGGCATGTCTGTCGGATTGGGCACTTGTTCCGGTCGTCCCGGCGGGCTTCTTTGTCCTGACGTTGATTCGGCCCCAACCCCCCCTCCCCCCCCCCCCCCCCCCTCCCGGTCTCTTTCCCCCATGGGCGGCCTGAACCATGAGCAGGTCCACCTTCCTGGGCGATGCGGCCCTCGTGACCGGCTTCGTGGCACGGGTGTCGGTGATTCTCTTTGCCGTGTGGCTGGGCACCCGCTGGGGGCCGCTCTTCCTGCTGGAGCATTTGTTCGGCCTGGCGCCGGGGATTTCCTCGGTGGAGATGGGCCGGCCGGCGGCAGCGAGCGCGGCCGTGGCCACGGCATCGGCGAATGCGACGGCCCCCGGGGCCGGGGCCGTTCGGCCGGGGGTCGGATCGGGATCCCTCCCGTCGGCCTTCGGGGCCGGGCCCGGGCTTGGGGACTTCCCCGGCGGCGGGGCCTTCTCGCTGGCGGCCTCTTCGCAGGCGGCCGGGCCGCGGTACGGAATGTCGTCCGGCGGCTGGGTCGGCGGGGCTCCGGGGGCCGGGTCGCACGCCATGTCCCCGGGGTATGGGGCGTTCTCCCATCACCGGGGCTTCCACCAGCCGAGCGGCCTGTATGGCGGCGGGCTGGGGTATCGCGGCCTCGGGGGGTCGGGCTCGGTGCGGCATGATCGCCGGCTGACGCCCACCTACACGGCCCTGTCCAGCTGGGTGACCGACGCGCCGCGCGACCTGGCCCATCGGGTGTCACAGGCGGTGGGCGGGCTGTTTGGCGTGGGCCGCGGGCTGTCGCGGCCGGGGCGGCTGTCGGCCGCGGCCGGCACCCAATTGGTGTCTTGTCCGGCTGGCGCGCCCCGCCGCAATGAGAGTCTGGTGGCGGCGCTGCAGCATCCCTCGGCCACGGTCCGGCGGACGTCGCTGCTGGAGCTGCGCAATCTCCTGCGGGTGGCCGGGCCCCGGCGGGCGGCCCTCTTCTCGCAGCTGCTGCTGCCGGAGGGGACCGCCGGCCCGGGCGCGGTGACCGGCGCCGCCTCGGCTCATGCTCCCTCCACGGTGGCCACTTTGTGGACGGTGGGCGTGGTGCGGCCGTTGTTGGCGTACCTGCGGGAGGTGACCCAGGAGCTGGGTCCCTATGCGGCTTTCTACCAGGCTGCCGGGCGTGGGGGCCATCTTGCGGCCGAGCTGCCGGCCATGGGCTTCGGGGCGTCCGGCGCCCCGGCGGCCGGTGGCCTGAATCGGCTCTTCCCGGAGAGCCGCCGGGCGGTGTTGGACTCGCATGCGAGCGCGCGCGGGGGGCCCCGTCGCCGGGCCGCCGGTGGCGGCGCCCTGGCGAGTGGCCCGGCGGCGACCGGGCAGCCGGTGGATCCGGATCTGGCGGATCACGTTGGGCGGCTGAGCCGCGCGGCCGACAGCCTGGTGGGGGCCCTGCGTGCGGCCCTTCGCTGGGCCTTCATCCCGCCGACGGCCGCCGACTTCGGCGAGGCGGCCGACGTGGGCATGGTGGCGGCCGGGGCGGCGGCCGTGCCTGGGGCCGCCTCCCGGCAGGGCGACCGGCCGCTCGCTGTGCCGTCCATCCTGTCGGGCAAGGCGGCCAGCCTGGCCGGCTCGGGCCCGGGGGCGGATTCGGCCGGGCCGATGTCGTCGTCGACGGCCGCGGCTCCGAAGGTCGTGAGCACGGCGCCGCGCCCTCCCATCACCTATGTCGAGTTGCTGGTGCGTGTTCTTCCCTTTCCCCTTCTTCCATGGGCCTTTGTTCCGTGGGGCTGCCTGTGCATCGGATGCTGACTTTGCTCGGGGGGGGGGCGCGGGACGGGGCGGGGTATGTGCCCGGTGGTCGACGCTCTCGGGCAGACTATGGCCCTGGACCGGCTGGCTGGGCTGTCGTCCGGCCAGAGCCCGGTGGCGGCGGCGGTGGGCGAGCTCCGGCGGCACCTGGGCCCGCGCGGGGCGGGTGGCGCCGGCGGCGGGTCGCCGGCCGCGGCGCTGGAACTCATCGAGGCGCTGTACCACCATGCGGCCTTCGTGCAGCTGGGCGCCGAGATCCTGCAGTTGGGTGTGACGCATGCGCGCGAGGAGGACCCTCGCGGAGCCAGCGTCCGTGCCGGGCAGCTCATCCCCATGCTGAATGCGTTGATGGATCTGCAGCGCGGCTTGGTGCAGCTGACCCGGGCGGTGGCGCGGGCTCACCCCCGGCGGATGCCGGCGGCCGAGCGGGTCATCGCCGATACATGTGCCGACCTGGCCCGGGGTGTGGGCGCGGCGGTGGCCGCCATCGCCGGCATCTATGGCCGCGGGTTGTTGGACATTCACCAGGACCAGCCGACCGTGTCGGTCTTGTGTACCAGCTTCTCGGCCGGGTCCACGGCCGGGGGCGGGGCTGACACCGTCGGCGCGGAGGCCCTGTCGCCGCAGAACTTGGACGACCTGCGTCGTCTGGTGGCGGCCAGCCAGTCCGCTGTGGTGCCCCAGTGAGTGCTGCCGACGGTGGCGCCGCCTTCTCTCGTCCCGTGTCCCGGGCTTTTTTTCTCCCCACTCCTCTCCACACCGGAGCATGGCTCGGTGCCTCTTTCCCCTTGTTGCTTGTTCCTCCCCCCCCCCTCCAGCTGGGTCCTTTCCCTATATGTGCCCCTGCTGGGGAGGTTATGGTTATGGGGAGGCCTGCCTCCCGGGCGCGTCCCTCTGTGAGGGACAATACACTTCATGAAGGATCTTTGCATGTCGGTGAGCAAAAGGGGGTACAAGAGGAGGGGGGGGGGGGCGCGCGCGGAGGAAAGCCTCGGCGGGCGGAGACGCCACTTGGCGTTTGGCCGGGGCGCAAAATGCAAGTGTGGATACCCAGAATCGAACTGGGGCCGAGTGGGCCACAACCACTTATACTAACCACTATACGATATCCACGTCTCTTGGGGGAGGCGGGCCGTCTGGGGAACAAGTGTTGTTGGTTTGCCACGGGGTGAGGGCAAGGAGGAGGCGGAGGAGGCGGAGGAGGCGGAGGGGGCGGAGGGGGCGGAGGAGGCGGAGGAGGCAATCGGGCCAGAGGTGCGGCCGTGGGGGGCACACCCGAAGCAGACCCGAAGCAGAGAGGGCCCCTTGCCCGCGAGGCCGGTCGTGTATGCGACGGAGGAGGGGGTGGGGAAAAAAGACACGGAAAGAAGAAGGGTCATGTGTTGGTGGGGTGTGGCTATTTGTCCCGGTCCGGCGCGGTGCCGTGTGTCCTGTGTCCGGGCGGACGGGCGGGCCGGCCGGCCGGCCGGCTGGGAGACTGCCTCAGAGCCGGGGGAACTTCGGGCTGGGCGACCCCTCGGGCAGGTGGCCGTCGCTGTCAAGCCGACGCTTGGACGGGGAGGCGGGCACACTGGAGGGGACGGAGAAGGACCCGCGGCTGGCCGGGTCTGACAGGCTGGCCGGCAGGGGGGGGAGGTCGAAGGACGGCGGCGGCGGCAGGTCGCCGAGGGAGAGGCCCGCGTCGGCCGGGGCGGAGCCCGGGTCGGCATGGGACGGGGACCGGGCGATCGGTGGCATGGGCGGCATGGGCGGCATGGGCGGCATGGGCGGCATCGGGGGCATGGGTGGGAGTTGCAAATGCGGCGGCATGGGCGGCATCGGGGGCATGGCGGCCGAGGCCGAGGCCGAGGCCGGGCCCGCAGCAGAGCCGAGCCCCGGCGAGGCGGGCCCAGTCCCGGGGGCGGAGGACGGCCCGGCAGATGGGGCCGGCATCGGGGGCGCGCTTCGGGACAGGGGCGACGAGAGGACCACCGGCGAGGGGAGCGACGAGCTGGCGGCCACCGAGGCGGGGCCACCGGTGCCGAGGATCGGCGACCCGGCTGTCGAGAGATGCGGCGTCCCGACGGCGGTGCTGCCGCCGGCGCTGCTGCCCGAGCCGTCGGGCAAGTTGCCGGCCAGCGATTGTGAAGAGGTGATCACCGATGATCGGAGCCAGTCGCCGAAGGCCGTCGGCGCGGCGGGGGTATTCAGCTCGGGCACGATCATCGAGTAGAGGGTGAACGACAGGTCCGGATAGGGGAGGGTGATGTCGTGCGGGGCGAAGCCGACGTCGGTGTCCGAGTCGTCGGACTCCGAGCCGGGGGGCTTTTCCGGGCTGGCGGGCTCGATGTCGGGCTTGGAAGGCTCCTCGGTGCCCGTGGGAGCTGGTTTGGTTGTGTGCGCGTGGGGGCAAGGGGGGGGGGGGGGGGTGTCAGTGCCGGGCACAGGCAGCCGGGGCAGGGGAACATGGGTGATGTCCGGGGAGGCGGGTGGGCGAAGGGCCATGAGCGTACTGGGCTTGTCCTGGTCGGGGCCGGCGCCAGCATCCGAGTCGCGAGCATCACTGGATGGCCCGCCGGAGTCGGAGGCGGGTCCAGAAGCGGCATCGGAGTCGGAGTCGGAGTCGGAGTCGGAGTCGGAGTCGGAGTCGGAGTCCATATCGCTGTAGCTGGCGCCGATCCCGGGCCGGCCGGCGCCCTCCGTGTCGGCGGTGGCCGGCAGGCGCTTGGACAGCATGAAGGGCGGGGCCCAGAAGGTGCCGCGCTCCGGGGTGAAGCCCACGTAGGCCGACGCCCGACGGTGGGCCTCGGAGAAGGCATTGATCGCGGAGCTCTTTGTGAAGTGGCCGGCGGCGTGGGGGAGGGGAGAGCCGTGTGAGCGAGGGTCGTCGACGAAGGGGGGACGAGAGGCCGGGGGAGGAGCACACGCACAACACGCATCTGGATGACGGCCTTCAGCGAGGGCGCTGGGTAGATGTCGGCCCCGATGATGTAGAAATAGGACAGAGGGACGACTGACCATGCGCAAGGAAGGAGCGGGAGAGGGAGAGACGGAGGGGTGAGCAAGGGGTTCAGGGCCAGGGGGGGGGG